GCAAGGGTGGAGACAAGGGCAACATTGCAGATTACTCCAGGAACCTGCTCCACAGGATGGCACCTGATGCTCGTCCCTTCAGCGTGTTTGACTTCATATGGTCAGAGATCGGGAGTGTGGGAGAAAGGCCCCTCAAGGGCTATGAATTTGCTCCCTATATCATGTATATGATTGAGCAGGTGATAGGGCACACATTCGAGTTTGACAAGACTCACAAGGCCCTGAAGATTGTTGCAGATCTGCTTGAGACAGGAATACCTCCAGCAGGACCAGGAGGAGCAGCAGCAGCACCAGAAGTAGATGCACCTGGGAGTGGTGCACCAGCAGGAGCTTCACCTTCACCACGTGCTCCTTCACGTTCTACTTCACGCCATGGCAGTCCTCCCTCGCCTATCCGCAGGCTTTTTAGCTCCATATTTGGAATGTGCAGAGACATCCAGACCCAGCAGTAGAAGGAGAGGGAGGCTAGGAGGAAGGACACTCAGACTTTGAAGCAAATTGCTTCTAATCTTGAGCTTGATCCTCCTAGATCTCCTCTATCAGATGAGGCAGCTAGTGAGCCTGAGACTGAGGAGCAGTAGCAGGCTAGATATGATAGAGAGTATGTTGAGTTCATTTAGCGACAGCAGCAGCAGCAGGCACCATAGCACCCGAACACTCTACCACTACAGGCTCGTATGCCTACTCACTCTCAGCCACGTCCCAGCACTGCAGACGACTATGCTTTAGACTGGTGGAGTGACCTCACAGGTGGTGGCGGCCACTATGGGTCTAGTGGCTATGACCCGTCTGGCGTAGGTGGTTCTCGTCCAGCTGGTGTTACACGTTTAGATGACGAAGATGCTGGGAGAGATGATGATGATGATGATGTTGAGTGATGCCAGAGATCAGATACAGCTTGCAGCCCCTTTTGTCCTTAGTTTGTCATTGTTGGACCTTTATGGTGATAGATGACAAAGGGGGAGAGAGACTGATTAAAGCTTCAGGATATTTGTTTCATTTGACTTATCTTTCTTTGTACCTGATGATATGTACTGTAGGCTATAGTTTTTGTTTTTGAGCTTCATTGATATATCTTGGATTTGAGATAGATTGTATCTTGTGAGAAATGAGACTCACTTATGCTTTATCCATGTATCTCTTGAGACATGATCTTAATATAAATTTTAGTGGTTTTGCGGACTTGAGAAAATGTGTAATGAGTGCTATGTGTGACATACATGTGTTGTATTTACTTTCATAAGGACTATGCATGCTAGAATGAAAATATTTGATGTGATGCCTTTATATTTATTCTTGTGTGATATATCTTGTCATATGCATCATAATTTTACTTTGTCACACACACATGCACCCCACGGATGCAATGATTTAGGGGGAGTCTCCTATATGTTTTAGCATGTGCAATTGACATTTAAGGTCATTTTATGAATTCTAATCATAAGCACATATTAAGGGGGAGCCTCTCATAAATCATTGAACCCAAAAGCTTAAATGTTTGTATTCTTTTGTAAGCTTTAATCAAGTTGTCATCAATCACCAAAAAGGGAGAGATTGAAAGTGCATCTAGCCCTTCAGTGGGTTTTGGATGATTGAATGACAACGTGATTAAATGTCTAACCCGTTTGCTAAGTGTGGACAGGTAATAGGTTATCTCACAGGTACTTAATGAAAGCCAAAATGATGTGTTGTTGTATAAACAATCTAGTTCAAGCACAAGACAACAATGCAAATGGAATTCATGCAAAGGCTTGTTTATTGTGGGATTTCCATGTACTATGTGAAAGCAAGCTTGTGAGAATTAATTAATGAGACATAAGGGTTTGCATATGGAATGGTCTCATATTTGAAGCTTGCTAAAATTAAAATGAAAAAGATAACAATACATGAATGAATGATTCAACACAAGATGTGACTTGATGGCTTGAGATGGTGAAGATAGCAAGGAAAGATTTCGAGGTACTAAGCAAGGGTGAAGGGCAAGCGATGGCTTGACAGCCGAAGAACCTAGCTAGGGTGAAGAAGGAAGTACTTGCATTTAGTTGAGGTACTAATCAAGCTATGATGGCCATGTTTATGTGAAGGATCAAATCATTGTTGGAGTGTTTGATGGAAGTGACTTGATACATTTGGGATTATTCAAATATGATGAATGAAATCAAGTCACGTGCTCAAGATGGCTATGCTCTAGTGAAAAAGATCAATATCAACATGTTGGCACCCTCACTTGATGAAGATTGGAATACACGGCTTCGGTTCAAAAAGAGCAACTCAAAAGGTTTAAATCCGTTATACTTTTAAATTTGAGTAAATAGGAATGTTGTACTATTAAGAGGGATGCATCATGTTGATAGATAATATTTCATAAGTGCTCAAGCCAACCCATGTGAGATTTGAATGTTTGAGAGACAAAAGAGCTAACTGACTTGGTGCTGGTCTGGCCGGTATGCATACCGGACGTGTCCGGTATTTGCCCAGTAACTGTAAAAATGTTGTTCTCGGGTTGGTTCGTGGGAAGTTCCGACGCATGTCGGGAGTTCCGACGGTCGGAAGTTCCGGCAATGGTCGGGAGTTCCAACGACTCACAATTTAAATAATTTGGAGTGTTCACTGTGGTGGTCATACCGGACGTGTCCGGTATTCATATCGGATGTGTCCGGTATGGACGACCAGAGGCCAAAGGCTAGTTTTCAAAAGTCTTGAGGGTCGGAAGTTCCGACGGTCGGGAGTTCCGGCATGCATCGGGAGTTTCGACACCTCACTAACTTTAACTCAGTTACATGGATTTCAAATTTGCTGAGGGTCGGGAGTTCCGACGTGAGTCGGGAGTTCAGACGGTTGGAAGTCTCGGCTTTCATCGGGAGTTCCGACGCCTTACAACATCACTGTAACTTAGTTACCGTTGTTGGTGCAGTGTAAGTCATACCGGACGTGTTCGGTATGCATACTGGACGTGTCCGGTATTGCAACGGCTATAAAACGGCTAGTTTTTTCCATGGGGGCTATAAATACCCCCAAGCCTCCACCTTTGAAAGCTGCTGATTCTGCTGAGATAGACATACGTTTTTGAGTCTTGCCAACTCTCCCAACCCTCTCTTAATGAGTGTGTGATCCAAATTGCAAAATCAATTTGTGGGTTAAGAGAGAATTTGAAAAAGAGAGCAAGCCACCACTTGAGCACTTGTGCATATTGTCAATCTCGTGATTCGCATTTGTTACTCTTGGACTCTTCGGTCCTAGATGGCTAGGCATCGTTGAAGAGCAACCGAGAGATTGTGGTTGCTTCGAAAAGTTTGTAACGGTCGATTCCGCCGCATCGGAATCATTTAGTGGAAGGAGGAAAATGAGTTGAAAATGAGAGTGACCTTGAAAATATTGACCTTCGGTCTAACGAAGTAGGACGCCTATTCACAAATTAGTATCTTTTTTGATATTTGTGTTGCTCTAGCTATTCAGTAGGTTCTCCTAGATTCATTTAGTATCTTTTATATAATACTCGTACCACGTGCCTCGCTAACTTTGTAGTGTTCTAACTCTTTGGTTGGTGGTTTGGCTCCTACTACTTTAGTATCTTTATTTGGGCTAACTTGTGAGGGGTGGTACTACTCTTTATTTGGAGTTTTCATTTTGGAAACTCCCTTTACTAGTCATTTCCGTTTTTAAAGGTGTTAATTTTCAGAAACGCCTATTCACCCCCCTCTAGGCGGCATCTAGGTCCTTTCAGACGGGTTCCGAGAGCGATCACCACTAGGAAGAAGACGTATGTGGACGAGCAGTCGTGGATCGCTCCCCAAAAACCTAATCGCCGCTCACCCCGTGCAAGGTTCTCAGACGGACGAGGGTTCTGGAGGCAACTGCTCTCCCGCTACTTCGTGCGCGCAGAGGTACGGGACGGAAAAACCAGAGGGCTGCGGAGCGGAAGAGGAAGGGAGGAAGGACTGATGGATGACGTTCTATTTTATGCCTATGACGGGGAGGAAGAGAGCCAGCGGAGGAATCTAGGAGACGGAGACACGAAGAGACGGGGAAACAGAAACGGCGCAACCATCTCGCCCCCACCATAAAGGAGAGAAAACTCTCGTAATTATGTTGATTAAGTGGCAAAAGACTGGCCACGCCCGCCTCAGCCTCGGCTTCGACCCGACCGGCGGCGACACGCGCACGCGTGTGGCATGTCTATGTCCTTTTTTAGCTTCTCAATTAAAATAAATAATTTTCAATCATATAAATCGAGCCAATGTTAAGTTAAAATTCCATATGGACAACAATTAATGTTACGTAACACAGAATTTTATTTAATTTATTAAATATTATATGGAGAAGCGCATAATATATGGTTCTGGAACGCGTGTATTCTGTTCGCGAACCTGCTACCGGTATGGTATGCGTGTATCTTGCGAACCTGCTAACGCAATGCGTGTGTTCTGCTGAAAGCTAGCAATCTCTCGTAACATGGTTGGCTTTAGTTTGTTATCTTCTTTTGTGAAAAAAATTGTAATATTTAGTTGCTAATGAAATAAACAAGCAATGTTCAGTTGTCAACTATTTGCACTTCAATTTGCTGTCGCATTGTGCAAGTTCTGTGAGACTTCGCTGGTTTAGCCTGCTACGGTGGGTGTGTGGTTGTTGCTGACGACGCGGCATATTCCGCCTTCCACCAGCGAAAAACTCCTCAACTGCACGCAGAAAATAGATCAATTGCCGTCACTGCCTATTCTTGGCCATACGGCCGGCTTCCCCACATCCCAACACAAACAAGGGAGAAAAACCAAAGGCGAAAGAGGGAAGAAACGGAAGAACACCAAGAAATCGGCGAATCCCTGACGTCCCCCCACCTTCAATTCTCATCCGCTTGCTTGCCCCGTTTGTTTGTCCAGCCAATTTGATCAGGGCGCCACACGGAACCCTGGTTCTTGATTTAATCACGGGTTGTGTGGTCATGGCGGGTCACCCCGTTCTTCTTCTCTTCCATGAGTTCAGGAGGTAGAGTGAGAGAGAACATGGAACGACAGGGGATGGAGGGCAACAATCTTCTGCATTTTCTTGATACCCCAAGCGCCCATTACAGAAGGTTGGTAGTTTTTTCCGGTCTTCTTTCTGATTTTATTTTTATTGATGCAATCTCTTGCTCCATCTTTCGCATCTGTCCATCCGGAACATGCACATTTCCAAGGAAATGGCAGTTTGATGGTTTGCTCCTATTTGTCTTGAAGGACATGCGACGGATTTGAAGCCCAGCAAGGTGGCGATGATCACTCCGAGGCATCAGGTTTGTGAATGTTCTGTGACATCTTCCTTTCCCGTTTGCACCTTTGTGAATCTTCTGTGATATTTTTCTATATTATTTCATTGCTATTTCGATTGAAGAAAGGATGTGATTGATATTATCACACTACCTAAAATTATAATTAGCTTGATGTGAGAGAAATTGGACTAAATAAATAGCCTCATGTGATAAATGATGTGTAGGTGGAGCTGCTGGTACTATATCCTTTACTATTTGTTGATTAACTGGCGATGCCTGATTTATGTGTTACTGCTGCAAATGACTACTGATCTCCAAATGATTTCTTTGTGATGGTTTTCAGATACCGATCCAGCTAATGCAAGGGAAATGTTGGAGTATTTGTTGAACCAACCAGCAAACAAATACTGCGCAGACTGTGGCAATCCAGATCCAAAATGGGCGTATGTGTCACATATTTCATTCACTCTGAATATTCAATCAATTTGGCTTATGCTTGCAAAACACTGATAGAGTTGCCTTTTGGCATAGGATAGTTGTCCTCTGTCAGTTTTGTAAAGTCTCTTTAAAGGGGTCCGACATTGTATTTATACAGCTTTACTGCTTTAGTACATAAATGACCAAACATGAAAATATGAACATTTGAGTTAACCTAACTTAAGCATTTGGGGTAAATGTTTGGTCTGATTGTTTTAATTAGACATGCGGTTCTGACAAATAATTATACAAAAAAATAAATTTGGAGCACACATAAACTTCAATCTTATATTTCAGATGGTCCTCAAGATTTCGTTTACAATTAAACTGCTTTTGCACTTGTAGGGCCCTGCCTTTTGGCGCATTCATCTGCATTAAGTGCTCTGGAACTCATAGAAGTCTTGGTGTGCACATATCAAAGGTGGCCAATGAACTTCACTCTTTGTTTTTTTAGTTCCTATATGTTCTGCCATTTTTACCACAGATTGGCATATTCCAATTTCCTTTTCTGTTGGACCTATTGTATAAAGCAAGGCTCCAAAATTTAATTTTTTTTAAAAGAACATATAGCCTACTTTACCAATAAATGTGCATTGCAGTCACTCATTATTTCCCTTGTCAAAAGGATACACTCTATAAATTACTGTGGAAAATGATTAATGCCCAATTTTTAATTGTAATGCTACTCTGTGTTTACTGTTAAAGTTCTAAGCCTGAGCATATTGTGTCCTTATATTGAACTAATCGACTATTCATTTTGAATGGAGTATAGGTGATTTCTGTGAATCTGGATGAGTGGACAGATGAAGAAGTCAACTGTTTAGCTGAATCAGGTGGAAATTCTGTTGTTAACACAAGATATGAAGCCTTTTTACCCGAAAACAAAAAGCCAAAACATGATTGCTCAACTGAGGAGCGTAATGATTTTATCAGGTACATGTTGAGTTAGTTGATTGTCAGTATTTGTGCTAATTGTTCCCTCGAAAAAAAAGTATCTGTGATAATTGTATCTAATGATACTTTGTTTTTTCCCTGTTTATATGCATGCAGGAAAAAATACCAGTTTCAACAGTTTGTGTGTGATCCACAATTTTCTTGCCCTTTACCACTTAACAGAAAGCATGCACCACCAGATAAAAATCACCAGCAGCATAATAGCAGCAAGTATGGTTTTGGCCATACTTTTAGGAATAGCTGGAGGAAAAAGGATTCATCAGATAACAAAGGCCTAAAGAAAATGGTGTGACCACCCCACTGATGCTAAATTTTCGAGTGTAATGTGGCACTTGATATATCACATTTACATTAATTCTGTGTTTTCTGTTTTCAGTCGGATGTGGGAATGATAGAATTTGTTGGATTAATCAAGGTTAATATCGTAAAAGGCACAGATTTAGCTGTTCGCGATGTGATGTCGAGCGATCCATATGTCATGATTAATCTAGGGCACCAGGTAAGCACATTTTTGTAGGTGGATATGGTGGCTCAATTCCTTTGGGACTTCCAGCTAACAGTCATATTTTTCAGTCCATGAAAACAAAGGTGATAAAGAACACCCTGAATCCTATCTGGAATGAAAGACTAATGCTTTCGATCCCCGACCCAATTCCACCTCTTAAGCTGGTATGCATTCATTTGTTTCTGACTTTTGAGTGGTTGTAATTCACTTCAGATGAAATATTTTGTTCAAACCCTTCACTGACCTACGTTCTGTTCTTTTAACCTGACTATAACAGCAAGTATTCGACAAGGACACATTCAGCTCCGATGACCGGATGGGGGAGGCCGAGGTGGACATCCGGCCACTGATTGCAGCAACGAAGGAGCACGAGAACTCAACCATCACCGAACCAACAGAACTCTACAGATGGTCAGCCAGTGAAGACAGCAACGGCGTGCTCGCCAAGGACAGCATCATCTCCGTTGCGAATGGCAAGGTCAAGCAGGAGATCACGCTGAAGCTCCAGAACGTCGAGCGCGGTGAGGTCGAGATCGAGATCGAGTGCGTGCCACTCAGCCAGTAGCAGTTTTCATTGTGAACAGGACTGGAAGCAAAAACAGGGAAGAGAATACAGAATGCTGGTTTGAACAGTGATACGGACGCTGGTTTGCAATGCTAAGAGAGACCTTTCACTTCACTTGTTTGTTTGCTCCATGCCTGTAATTCGTGTGCATGTGTGTGAGATATGTTGTACGGTAGATAGGCAAAGGGAAATTACCTACTTGTATTACTTTGATTTTAGGCATATGGTTGAACTATTTTCAGTAGATTTCCAGACCCCAATTGTTAGCTGGTACTACCAGGATGGTGAAAAGATCTGTATTCTTCTGCCCATTGACAAAAGTTGGCTTGCTCCAGTGGGGAAGACGCCAATGGTGGCCGACAAGGCAGTCAATCTTAAACGCTAGGGATCTCAGGGAATTGGCAAGGGTGGAAGCCGAAACTATAGATTTTTGTATGAAATCCGATACGGACGTCACTAGGGACATGTTTGATATTGACGAACTAATTTCTAGTCATCTAAACTTTAGTTTTTGTCTATCAAATAGGTCGACTAAATTTTACTTCAACTCTAACTAGTTATCAATTAACCACTTCGTTGAAGTACATTTTATCTAGATCGCATACATTCGTCCATCACATCTCCACATCAAATATGTGTGTTCGTTGAGGTATCAACCCCCTGGTGATTTCATATCAGCATAGGTCTGCCTTTTGAAATTACAGGGAATGAAGCAAAGCATATCCATCTATCATTTATTATCCATCCTATGTTAACTAATTAATTCATTAATTCAAAACCCCAAAACTCAACGATAATGCTGTGGGTAGGCGTCTGTTTCATCCGGATGCGCGCCAGTGGACCTCGATCCCCGAATGGCCCAACAGGAAACACTGCCATCCGCATAGAAATAAAAAAAATCGCCGCTCTCACCTTCTCGAATCGCCACTGTTTCCCCTCCATTCTCGAACCGCGCCCATATCACCGCGGCTTGCTCCACCGTGACCGCACTGTCGCGCCCGCACCGCCATGCCCGCAATGCAGCAGCGTGCTGCATCGCGCCCGAGCGCCGCCGCCTGCTTTCCTGCCTCACTACTCGTTGTCGAGTTCTTCGAGCCGGCGCGGCGTGGTCCACGATGACTGCTCCGGTGCGGCGTTCTTCACCACGCCCAGCTGCTTGCCTGCTGCCATCCTCCCTCTCCACTGCAGCCGAGCGCCGCTTGCTACTACCGTAATTCCCCACCAGGTAGGCCATGGCTTCTAGCGTTGCCATGTTTTTATTTTAAGGTGTGTTTCAGAAGTTGTTTCCAAATGTTTCATCTATATGTTGTGTATGTTTCAATGGCTATATACGTATGTTGCAAGTATATGTTTCAAGTGTTTCAGTTGTTTCATATGTATGTTTCACGCGTTTTATTTGTATGTTTCATGTGTTTCATCTATATGTTTCATGTGTTTCGTCTTGATGTTGCAAAATGATTTGATGTTGTATATGTTGCAATGGCTACACACATATGTTTTAAGTGTATGTTCCACATGTTTCATCTGTTTTAGATGTGAAAGCATCTAGGACCCTAGTGGGTTTGGTGATTAATGACACCATAAGGTTATTATGACTAATATGTGTTTTGTAGAGGCAATTTAAGTTATGTCACGATAATGGCGATTGTTTGGGCAATCGATGGTTTTCATTCCCCTATCGATGGAAATCGTTTCGGTTTTCAAAGGATGGACGACAAGGTTAAGGACGGACTAGTTCTAAGTGTCGTTTTGCATTGAGAGACACTTAGAGTAGTTTAGGACTTTGTTTTTCCTTTGGCCGTACTATTAAGGGGGATATGAACTAGTAGCTTGACCCAGGTGAGTCTAATGGTTTAGGTGTGGTGCACACTTGTCAAACTTAGCACTTGGTAGCTCAGGGACAGCCCAAAGATCAATTGGAGTCAACTTCATTCACAAAGTATTTCGAATTGAAAGTGTATGGAAGGTTGAATGGATGACCAGACGCTGTGGATAATGGGACCGGACGCTGAGGTGCCGGGTCTGGTCAGTGGTGGCGTACGCAACAGAGTCTTGAGCGTCGACCGGACGTTGGCTCAAGGCCAGGACAAGACCTGACTCTATGACTGTTGCAGGTAAGGCGTAGGCTCAGGCATGATCGAGACGTTGCGCAGAAAAGGACCGAACGCGCTGCAGACCGAGTCTGGTCGAGTATAGAAAGCATGCAGAGAGAAATTTTATTGACCAGACGCGTCCGGTCATGGAGGACCAGACTCTGCGCCGGGTCCGGTCATAGTAACGACTCTCTCTGACAGCTGACCGGACGCATCCAGTCAATCTGACAGACGCGTCCGGTCACTTTGAAAAGTGCCGAGTTGGACCCCAACGGGTATGTTTTGAAGTGGGGGTATAAATACTTCTCCTACTCATTCAATTCAGTCCTCTTGCCCATTTATTCAGCTGAGAAAACACTTTGGAGTGCAAGAGAGAACAAGATCCTAGTGGGGCAATTGAGATTTAATAATCTAAGATTAAGGACCACATTAGTGCATAGGGAGTAGCAAGTATGCATCCACCTTTCTTATTAGCTTGTCTTGTCAAGTGAGAGTTTGTGGTTGTTATTCTTGGTGATCGCCATCACCTAGACGGTTCGGTGGTGATTGGAAGCTTGGTGATCATCTGACGGAGCTTGTGGATGACCCAAGTCATGGTGTGAGCGGTTATGAGCAATTCATCGTGATGGAGTGTCGAAGAATCAACCTGTAGAGAGCACTTGATCATTGTGTGGATCAAGGGGGAGCTACACCCTTGTGCGGGTGCTCCATCGAGGACTAGTAGGGAGTGACGACTCTCTGATACATCGAAAAAACATCGCCGCGTTCTTCTTCTTCTCTTTACTTCGAGTATTTACTTTTGAGCAATTCAATTCATATCTTTACATTCTAAGAATTGCCATGCTAGAGTAGAATTTGAATCTATGGTGCAAAACTTTTGTGGGTAGAATAATAGAGAACATATTTAGGCAAGGAGTGAAATGGGCTAACTGTAGGACTTAATTATTGCAAGAAATTTTAAATTAGCCAAATTCAATGCTCTCTTGGGCATCTTGATCCTTTCAAGACGTATATTGCAAATGTATATTTCAAATATTTCAGCTGTTTTAGATGCATGTTTTATATGTTTCATCTAGATGTTGCAATGACTATACAAGTATGTTTAAATAGTATACTGCACATGTTGCAACGGTCGAATGAATGTTGCAGAAGAGATGAGACGTTAGGACAGGGGAAGGGGCGCGGCCGAGACAGAGCACGGTGGAGGACGGGGGCGCGGCGGGGATGGTGCCGTGGCGAGGGGAGGAGCGCAGCGCGGCGGGGAAGGAGCGCGGCGGGCTTGACACCAGAGGCACAACCGGGATAGGGATCGAGTCCCAGATGGTCGGATCGCGGTCATTAGCTCGGGATCGGTCGTGGGCCTCTGTACGCTATTCGCTGGCGCGGGATCTGATACGAGCGCAGCAGCGTCCGATGCGAAGCGGTCGCATGCGTCGAAGCTGTCTCCGGACGCGGGCACGAGGTCGGACGTCTGAGCTAGCCCTGCCCAATAATCAACTGTTCAGGTTTATTTGAGATGTGTATCGTAGCATTGCCCATAGCTGAGTGAGAAAATTGACGTAGGCACGGACTCTTATCAACTGTGGTTATTGCAAACACACCACACCAGACACGACAAATAAAGTTCAGATTGTTACAATACAATCACCTGCCACCACACAAAGCATACTGCATAGTACCACAGTAATGATACGTAGTATACAACAAACGGTGATGAATCCTTGTGAGCCGGCCTGTGAGCTACTAGGCCGGGCAGGCATCGCCGCCCTTGAGCTCCGTCCCGTCAGTCTCAGGGGTGGTCGCTGTCGGCGTGCTGCGGTACAGCGCGGTCATGAATGGCGTCGCCAGCACCGTCGTCGTAAGCGCCATGATCACGAAGATGGCGAACGTCGTGTCGTCCAGCACCTGCACTAGATCACAAGCATGTTGATTGAGAGAACGCATGTTCTCGATTGATTAAGAAGAAGCAACGTGCCAAGTATAAGTAGGGCAGCGCACCTTCCTCTCCTTGCCGATGTTGAGCACGATGAGCTCGACGAGCCCCTTGGCGCTCATGGCGACGCCAAGCGCGGCCGCCTCGCGCCTCGCCATGCCGGTCACGGTGGCCACCGCGAACGTGCCGCCGAACTTCCCGAGGAACGCTACGGCGACGACGAGCGCGGCCATGCCCCACGCGGCCGCGCCGCGGACGGTGTCCACGTCGGTGTGCAGCCCGCTGGTGGCGAAGTAGAGCGGCAGCATGAGCCCGGACACCAGCGGCGCCACCTTCTCCCGCGCGCGCTCCGCGAGGCTGCTCTCCCGGGGCACAGACAGCCCAAACACGAAGGCGCCGAACACCGGGTGCACCCCGATGGCGTCAGTCACCGCGCCAGCGAGCAGGGCGCAGGCCACGACGGCGCCGGTGCTGGACGAGGCCAGCGCGGCGGCGCGCTCGGGGCCCGCGCGGCGCGCCAGGCGCGCCATGAGCAGGCGGAGCAAGCACAGCATGAGCGCCACGAAGGCCGCCCCCGACGCGAGGATGTAGACCGGGGCGAGCGGGGTGCCCCTTGGCCCGCTGCCGCCGGAGACGCCGAGCGCGAGCGCGAGGAGCGCCCACGCGAAGACGTCGTTGACCGCGGCCGCGGCCATGGCCGTCTCGCCCAGCGGCGTGCCGAGGAGGCCGAGCTCCTTGAGGATGCACGCGAGCACGGGCAGCGCCGTCACCGAGAGCGCGGCGCCGACGAACACGCAGAGCGGGAGGAAGGCCGCCGCATGGCGAGGAGCCGGCGGGAGGGCGAGTTTTAGCAGCGGAACGAGGCCCGGCGCGGCGAGGAACGGTGGCACGATGCCCGCCGCGGCGACGGCCACGCTGCGCGGGCCCGCGCGGCGCACGGCGCGGAAGTCGAGCTCGAGGCCGACCAGGAGCAGGAAGAGCAGCAGGCCGAGGCCGGACACGGTGTCGAGCGCCGCGGTGCTCCATGGCGGGAAGATGACGCGGCGGAAGGCGCCCCATCGACCCAGCGCCGACGGGCCCAGCAAGATGCCGCCCTGCACCAGGACGTGTCGTTGCCACCAATATAAGCAAGCACACTGATCATTTTTGTTGCCATGGTGACTCGTGATGCCATGCTCAACTCAACTCGAGAGGTCAATAGTACCGGCTTAGCGCCGGCGTTTTTCTGTAATTGTAAAATTCTTTCCACTTAATACAACGATACGCGATCCTCTCTACAGTAGCGTTTTGTTTTTATTTAGTAATAATTGTCCGATCGTTGACTAATTAGGCTCAAAACGTTCGTCTCACAAAGTACAACCAAATTGTGCAATTAGTTTTTGATTTCGTCAACATTTAATACTCCATACATGTACCGTAAATTTGATGTGACGAGAAATTTTCTTTTTATATAGTGCCAATTTCAAAAATTGGAGGAAACTAAACAAAGCCATGACCTGACTTGCTTCGTCTGGTCTAGAAAATGATGAGTTGTACTACCTATGTACCAAAAAGAACGTAACTTACGTGTCACGAAAAGTGACTCACGTTTAATCAAGTTTGTAGTAAATAATATTTATAGTTATATTTTTAAATTAATTTATTATAAAAGTATATTTCGTACTTAATTTGATGGTATTTATTTGGTATCATAAATATGAATATTTTTTTATCTATAATTGATCAAATACTAAACGTGATACTATATTAAAATTGTATTTTTTTTAAGATAGAGATAGTACGTTCTGGTCTAGGACGTACTCTTACACTTGCCTACATATGGTCAACACGAGCATACTAGATCCTCCTATAATGGAGGAGGAAAGCGGCATGCAAATGTGGCTGGGGCCTTGTTTAGATTATAATTTTTTGTAATCTGGACATTGTAGCACGTTTCGTTTATATTTGATAAACTTTGTTCGATCATGGACTAACTAGACTCAAAAGATTTGTCTCTTGATTTACAACCAAACTGTGTAATTAGTTATTTTTTTTTACCTACATTTAATGCTCCATACATACATCCAAAAATTGATGTGATGAAAAGAAAGTGAAAAAACTTGGAACTTTGAGGCAATCTAAACAAGGCCTGAGGACATGTGTGCGCGCAGTGAATGGTTCGAGATGTGGCCGTGTGGGTGTGGCTTATTATGAGCAGTTAGTTCTTCACTGCTTACAGATTTGTATCATTTTCAAAAGATTTCATGATTTCCCAGCGCATAAACCATCACTCCGTAAAACATTCGCACAGATTTATATCCATAAAAAACATGATCATTTATATGCTTTTGGTCGGATCATGCATGGTAACATACTGTACGTATATATGATGTATACAATTATAGCAAACCACAAAGCATGGGCGAGCCGATTTGAGTGGTTAATTATGTTTGTAGACGTGTCATCAAGCAGCCTTTGTAATAAAATATTAAAAAAACAAACACCAGCTGTTGTGTTTATTACTTTGTATCTGTTTTTGCTGTTGCGAGTGAGGTATTAGTTAAAAATCATGCTAGTAGTGAATTATCTCCGGTTCTCCGAAATAACACTAGGCATATATAGAGAAATGAAATGAAACTGGAGGATACCAGAAGCTCGGCGACAACTTTAGGTTGGCGCAGTGGCCTGAGCGCGAGGGCAAGGCCCTGCGTGACGGCGAGTATGACGGCGATCTGCACGGCGAGGAGCGGCAGCGCGAAGTCTAGAGGATTCTCGCCCTGCCACACCCCGTCCGACGCCATCTTCACGTTCACCGTCGACGACGAGGAGTTGGACACCAGCATTTTGTCAGTCTGATAACTAGTGCTGTGTGGTTGCAGCTAGCCGAGATGGAGCTTTACCTAGCTAGCCAGCCAATGACTTGAGCTGCTGGGCATGCATGGATGATCGATACTACTGGGCTACGGATTTATAGGCGCGCGCGCTGATGCAACCTGGCTGGGAGGCTTTGCGCCTGATGATACGTTTAGTGTTGAAATCTCGGTGGTGCCCTTCTCCATCATTTTTGGGGGATAAAAAGGTTTGACAGATTATGTCATTATGTGGAGAAATGTGGATACGAATTAATGACTTCCTGCGTCTTCCAGTTTAGTGGGAGATATTGAGGAATCTCTCGTGCCCCCCCCCCCCTACACGTCTATTTTGTCTTTTTCTTTGGAAAACTAACAGGACAGGAGATCTAATCTACTCCCTATGTCTTAAAATAACATAAAATTTGGGATTATGCACAAATACCAAGATTATAGCTAAAAGACCAAAGTACCCCCTATGAGAAGAAGAGAGGCAAAGATAGAGATATATTGGGAAAAGAGAAAGATGCATTGAGATGCTATAAGCAAGTATTTTTAGATAAAATTGAATCCTATAAGGCTATCTATTTTGGGATGGAGGGAGTGTAAGTATAAATTAATTAACCGAGAAAAGCCTCGAGCCCTCAACGATACCGTTCGCCTAAACGGTCATTTAGCCCGTTTAAACACCATGAAAACGCTAAACGGTGGTATGCCGTTTCCATTTAATTGCTCGTTTAGCCCGTTTAATTAGCCGTGTAGCCCGATGCATTTAATGGTCCGTTTTGCCCGAATAATGGTTAAATGGTAGGTGACCGATTGTTTACCGTTTAGCATTGAGTATAACATTGTCAATGGACAAGTTTACACTGGTACAAATGGTGGTCACATGATGTTACAAGAGGATGGACTAAAGTTCTTTGCACCTACGATTGTGAGCACCCAATTCCTCGTCTTATATATATCTTTGATCTTTGAGAATAGCGACATAAGAGGCTACTCTTTCTGATTGATAACCTGTGTATCCCTATCATTCCACAGTTCCCATATGGCAAGGATGATCATGGACTTATACAAACAAGCAGCCTTCCCCCTCTCCTAGAAACACTTGATCGGTTCTTCACTTCAAGTCCTTGGACTTTAAGCTACCTTGACACCTTTATTAGAACCGTGGTTATGGAGACATTTGATCATTGGTCATGTGTGGTGAAGATATCTACATCCATTCCAAAGGGAAGATCTTCAGATTTAAAAATTATTAGTTACAACATGAGCAATTTCAGCAAATTATCCATCATGGCTGGTCAATCAACACCAACCAAACAGATATAGCCAAAAATATTATTGCAAAGTTTAAACCCTTAAGAAGGGTGCTGAAAAGCTGGCAACTATTAATTTATTTGGTCTCAATGCTAATATTGAAAATGTCAAGAACACCATATCATTCCTGGAAGTCATAGAGGGATTTAGAGACTTGAGTATCGTCAAATGGAATTTCAAAGAGTTTCTTAAGTAGAAACTCATTTCCCTGCTTAACCAGCAAAGAATCTATCAGAAACAAAGCAGAAAAATCAATATATAGGAACGAGCGCACCTTATAATTGAATGATAAAGCTCTCAATGTGATATATGAAGCTCTTGATCCCAAGGTTTTTGAGTCAATCAAAGACTTGGAGATGGCACATCATGTATGTAAGAGGCTTGAGGACTCATATGACGACACATCGGCGGTAAAAGGATCCAAGCTATACATCTTCAAGGATAAGTATGCCAAGTTTATGATGCTAGAAGATGAGAGTGCTTTTTTATAGGCTCTATATTCACTCCTCTAGCCATTTAAATCCTTTCACTGTGGACAGGAGCAGAAGCAAATGATAGAAAACCTCTAAAAGTTGCTTGGAAATGGTTTACCTCCCAAAAACTAAGGTAGCGTTTGGTTACCATGGGATTCCAAGAATCCGGATAAAAAAAATCCTATAACCCTAGAATAGGATTCTAGTGGATTTTAACATACATGCACGTAATCTAATAAAACACATCGAGATTTTTTTTTACCATGGACTACCAACTTGTTGAAGGCTTGGCTAAAAATATAGTCAATCTATTAGCCCTCCTGTTTGAATGCACTAGAGCTAATTTTAGCTAATTTTTAACTAGCTAGCAATTAGCTATGATATCAAACATGCCTAAGGATTGCAACAGTGCATCATACCTACGTAACTTTTCCTTTTAATCGCTAGTACCTCATACCAATATAAGAATCATGCATTATGCACATCTCTGAGAGTAAGACAACGTTGACGCACAGCCACACAAATTGCAGGCACAAACTGAATGATACACACACATGCATAGCAGTAGCCAGTAGCAGAGATATAAGCGTGGGTGTATAACCTTTCAGATAGCTGAAGAGTGAAGACGAAAGTCAGAAACCATTTGGCATACTGTTCATACATAGAGGCAGTGTCAGCTCAGGTGCTGGCGAATCATTTTACACCCCCACTAACTAATGTTAGCCAGAGGTTGGTGAGTGGCGAGCCTACTAAAGTAGCTTTGATCGAGCCGGCCGCAAAACTCCCGCGCCATCCGCACAGGCAGCATGACACGTGGTAATCAGGGCCCGGTCCTGGGGGTGGGCAGGGTGGATTTAGGTGGGCCTCAACCCATATAGTAGATTAGTACTAGTATTAGGCCTCGTTTGGTAGGGCTCCACTTCACTGGTGAAGCTATTTTTTTTTGACTTCAGCTCCACGAACAGTTCCACATGTGGAGCTGAAGCGGTTTTGGTAAACCGTTTGGCAAAATGGCTTCTCTGTGAGAGCATATTTTTAGGGGCCTGGAGGAGGAGCCGGAGAAGCCACTTTTTTTTTTGGCTCCATCCCACCCAAAATCACTGTGAGAGCATGTTTTTAGGGGCTTCACAAGTAAAGCTATTTTACTTTACCCCGTTTGGTAGAAAACGGCTCCAAACGGCTCCTGAAGCCGGTGGAGAAGCCCTGCCAAATGGGGCTTTAATATAGGCCATTAGTTTATACGTTGTATAACGAACGTGGGCTTCTATAGGCTGTAGCCCAATATAGCAAGCGCAGGTCTAGGAAGGCTTTGCCTTCGACACTTTTCAGTTTCCATTCAGAGTTCGGCGACTCGTGAACTCGTCAACGTGAAGGTCGTGACTCGCGAACTGATAAACTATGCGGCCGCCGGACGTAATCACAGGTAATCGAGCAGATCAACAATTCTTAGGGCCTATTCGGCCCCAATTTCTATCATCCTCATCCGTGATCCAGTTTGCAGACGCATCAGTCCATCAATCATCACGGGATCGCCCCACGGCAGAGAACAGAGAGGATCACATCCATAAGCACCGTTCGGTTGATATTCGATATATGTTTTTTTAGTGCATCGAATATTATCTTCTAAATTGATGTGTATTTGGGAGACTATATGTATAAATAGAAATATATATAAATATTTGTAGAGAGTGGACTATAGGCCTCTGTAAGCTTGTTCACTTGGTCATATTTGGCTTATAAGCCATGGCTTATCAGCCAACGAACAATATTTTTCTCTCACACCAAACCAGCCAATAGTATTTTCAGCCATGGTTTATAAGACAAACGAGCCCAGACGAAGAGGGCCTATATTAGTTCTCGACTTAGGCCTAGAAAAACTCAGGATCAGCACTGGTGGTAATAACTCAGCTAGCTCTCTCAAACGTTCCAGAACCCTAGCTAATCTTGACCCAGATCATGGTGGATACAAGTCTGAATGTTACATGTCTATTCCTGCACGTCAGTTGATCCTGTATGTATGTATACGGCCGTGAATATTTTTGAGACAAATTAAAAATTATCCTATCCATGATTTTTTGTTCCATCGATTAGTCAATGCTGAAATAAGTGGACGCACAGCAGGAGATCTGCTATGTGCCGTCAACCACACTGGGTAGACGATGATGACTGATGAGGCCTTGGTTGGAACGGCCTCATTGGCACGGCTGCTTAGTGCGCTCTGCCTGCAACTTCCTGACCGCTGATTAGGGTTTTGTTTAATGCTATTGGTTTTAAAAGGCACGGCTAATTTTTTTCCCAGGAATCTATCACGCTGATTATTAATTATTGGAAAATATGCATGAAGCAAGAGTAGAAAAGGTTGCCGCACTGATGCTTGCGGTGGGTTAGATGTCATGCTGTGTTAGAGGGGTTCAGTGGTCTGACTTGTCATTGCTGGATTGGACAGACTCCATGTTTGTAGGGTGCCACCTCAGTCCGACTTGTCACATAGCTACTGGGTAAAGGGAATGGATGCGTGTAGATTCGGGAATTAGGCTCTTCTTACATACCTCAGCTCTCTCTCTCTCTCTCTCTCTCTCTCTCTCATAAATGAAAACTAGATTAAGAGCAACACAAGTTTCTTTTTTAAGATGGAATTGTTCCGATGTTACAAAGGGGTCGTTTGGTAGCTAGCCACAACAGCTTTAGTAGTAGTTTCTCTAATGAAAGCTGTTTTTCTTTTGCTTCACCTTCTATAGTTAGAAAAATATTTGGTGTGAAAAATGGTTGCCATCGGGCAAAACAAGAAGTCTTATGCTCTTGGTATTGCTGCTATATGTTGGGCAATTTGGAAAGCCTGGAATAAAGCATGTTTTGAGGGCAAGTTGATCCAAAATCCTGTTGAAATCTTATGTCATGTGTGCGCTCTTATGCGGTTCTAGGCAGGTTTGTATGCCGGTGAAGAGAAGGAGGTTATGATCGATGGAGTTAGTGCTATGTTGAAGATCGCTATGGAGTTGCTCACTAAGCCAAGTAAGAGGACTTGAACTGCCAAACTGATTCAGGAAGCAGACCTAGAAGGCGAAGATGATCAGGAGACCCCAAGTGAAGCCATAGAGGGCAATGTCTTTTCGTCTGAAAGGATCAACATGCCTAAGAGGGGGGATGAATTTAGCTAATTCTAAAATTCTTTGCAATAATTAAACCCTACACTTAGTCCAC